ATAAATATAACATTAATTTAATTGTGTTTTATTATAGTTAATAACAATAAAAGTAAAAAGACATCGAGTTGATAATAGCAGTGATTCTGATAATGAAAACGCTAATGAACCAGTTGGGCGCCAATTTACTGGAATTTGGAAAGAAATTGAATTAGGTGAAGAAGTATCTTGTAGAGTTTATAGAGGAAAATATATTCATTGCAACAAGAAATTTAGATGTGCTAAACCTATTAAAACTAGAGCTCATATTGCACATGAATGTCCAAATTGTCCTGAACATATTAAATGATATTATAATTACATAATTGTGAATAATCTTTTTGATGATCCAAAAGTTGAAGATTATGCAATTCTAACTGAAACTTCTATAGAAATCGAATCCAAGTCTACATCTAAGAAAAAATTTAGACCTGTGAAATTTTCAGAAATTTACTAAACAGAGGTTGATAAGGCATTAATTGTGGCATTCATTTCATGTGGCCTACTTTTCAATATAATTGAAAACCTATTATTATTAAGCTATTTAATATTTTCTGTGAAGTATTAGCAGGTATTTATTGTATATTAATATATAAATTTAATAATTAAAACTATAATTATCATACTTATATAATTAAATTTTTTATATTAGGACGCTTATTGGATATTCAAGTAGCCCAAGTTAATATAAATGTAGAACAAACAATTAAATCAACTTCAAATTTAATACTTTGTATTGACGGTTAGACAAGTCTAAATAAAACATCATTGTGGAATTTTGTACTTCTTACACCCAATCGAAAAGAATTCATTTATCGAATTGCTATTATTTAAATCATTCACATACAGGAGAATTTTTGGCCCAACAAATTCAACAAATTATTGAAGAAATTTGACCAGAAAAGATTGCTGCAATTATTAGTGATAGTGGATCCAATATTAAACTTGCACGAAAATTAGTTACTAGTTAATATCAGCATATTCTAAATCTTAGATGTATAGCACATGCTATAAATCTTATTACTAAGGATATTCTCAAGCATACATTTGCATTTCAGCTAGTTAAAAAAGCCAATTTAATTGTTAAAAACTCTAATAGAAAAATATAAAATTTCTGGTGGCAGACTTAAATACTATGTTGAAACAAGATGGATTATATTTCATAAATATAATTCTTCAATTATACGCTTTAAAAAATGCTTAGAAGATATTAGAGATAAATTCGCTCACAAAATAACAAATAACAAAATCATTACTATTTTAAAAAGTCATGGATTCTTTGATGATATGCAGTACTTAACAGAAATACTTGCACCATTCAAATCAGCAATTCTTGAAGTAGAAGAAAGCCAATCTAATCTTGCCGATTGTTATATTGCTCTCCTTAAAATTGGTGCTGCAATTAATAACTTACCACAAAAAGAATATCATAAATTTAGAAACTATTGTATTTAAGTATTTAATCGACAATATGATAAATTCGATAATCCAAATTACCTTTTAGCATTTTTTTTACATCCAGCTTATAAAGAAACTGGGCTCAAATTTGGAATATTTCTTACAATTGCATTTCATGCTGGCATGTTATGGAAATCTTTAAAAAAGACTAAAGAAAGCTATGAATCATTGATAACACAATTTTGGCAATACAAAATGCAGAAAGATTCCAACAAAAAACCAAATGCATATACAATGCCTTATGTGCTTAATCAAGATACCCCATTAAGTTGGTGGTCAACATGTGAAGTAAATTCAAATGAGTTACAACAGCTTGCTATATGGCTTTTTACTATTATACCTAGCAGTGTAGCATGTGAATATACATTTTCTACTTTGAACTGGCTTTTTGGTAATGATGCCAACAAATGAATTTATAAACTTTAGAAAATATTGCTAAAGTTTATCAATATAATATTTCGCAAATTGAAACTGTACAAACTGAGAACAATGAA